CCAAAACGATAGGGTAAAAGTTTGGTTAGACTATAAATAATGATTGGCTCATTTTAATTTTAAAAAAAAACTTGCTTAAAGAGCTGAATAAAAAATAATATATTGAATAAATACTTTGAAATAGATCAAAATCGAATAATATTTATGTGAATTTATGATCAGGTAATAGTAGCAATTATACAGTAAATAAAAAATATAATTATTTTCTTAATGTAAAAGTAACGAAAAAAGGTGGGAAAATTAAAGGAATTTTATTAAATACTTTGCTAGCAATTATATAGATATACAGATTTGAGGTACTACGGTTGCTCATGAATATACAAAGACGGATTTGTATGGGGCCCGGGCCCCCCTAATTTTGTTTTTGCAAACAAAAAAAAATATATATATATAAAGAAAATACTATATAAATATGTACAAAAATTTAAAAAATATTACAATATATTAAAACTGATTTTCTATGCTACTTTAATTTTAAATTAATATATTACTTATTTATTGAAAAATGTACTAACAAACCTTATATACTATTTTAGATAATTTTTGGAAAATATTAATAATGATTAACTCTTTCAGTCTCTTAATTGTAAATCGATTCAGTGCTTTATAAAACCCGATATTTAGTTGGATTGTTATATTTTTATTATTGATTTTTTACTTTTTTTTTGTGTAATCACATGTTGTTAAATTTATTTATTTTATTCTTAAAAAAATGTTTATTTGATAAGCTTTTATCAACTAAAATGTTATGCATTGTGTTTAAGAGTTCAATTTACATCAATATTTAAACAAGAAACTTATTTTTCCATAAACTACATATGCTGAACTTAAATTATAAATACATGAAATCTCATTTTTTTTTTTAAAAGAAAAAAGTTTGACGGTGATATGGATTATAAGTTTTTTAAAGACTTGATGATACACATATCGATATTCATATTTATAGTAAATATATTTTTATATGAAATAAACGTCGTGACTTAAAGTACGAGCCCGTTATAACATTTAAAATCAGATCCCCTTGAGGTATTGCGGTTGCTCATGAATATTTTAAAGATCATTTCAAATTTTAGAATTTTTACGATTTATTTAGCTTTATAATTTATAATTCTCTACATAAAGTTTCAATAAATTTTAAAAAGTTTACACAAATTCATGGTAAATAAACTAAATACATGTAACTTTACAATACCTTTTATAATCCTCAATTGAATACATTCGCAATTTTAGAAGTTCTATTATCCCGAGACTACGTCCACCAATCCTAAAAAAAGGGGCTCGATTAAGTGCTTGTGCTCGTGCTCGAGCTCGAGCTCGGTTAGCATGAGTTCGAGATTGGTTCGTCTCTTTTACACTCCTAAAACTCTGCCCTCATATAGCAAAACTTGGGGTCATTTGCAATGACTGGTAAAAACTAAAAAATAGTGAAAATATAAGATGAATTGACGAGTCACAGTTATAATGGAAAACCAATGTGGCCAAACCTCAATATGGTTCTTCTAACCATCCTTGAACTTCAGTAAGCACAGGGACAGAAACAAAAACTCATAATCTGCAGATTTCGGTTTTCTAACATAGTTTGCAAAACTAACATATAATCGGACGACAAAAGCCAGATCCAAACATGTCGACAAAGATCCACCAAAACAGAAAAGTTCATACGTAGCAGATTCCTAAAGAAGTTCTGAATGTCTCTATATAAAAGTTGCAAGAATTGTAAAGCTAAAGCATCAGATGGCAAGCAAGACCTAAACATGCCAACAAGATCTGCCAAACAAAAAGTTCAAAATGTAGTAGCCAGAGACCAAAAAATAACCGGTGTTGCTAATGAATTTTTATTTAGAAGTAAGTTTGTTAGGCTCCCGAAAAGAAGAAGAAGTTACTCAAAGCTCGTAGAGCTTCCCATCAACTAACAGTAACTTGAGTAGAAACGTACTTCGAAGGAAGTGGGTCGTGGGTTTTCGAGACCTTAGACTTGGAAATTTTGAGCACCTCAACTCCCTCTTTCACCTTGGCTGCTAGTGCCTCAGGTGAATCCAACAGCAACAGCAGCTCGGAGTTATCCATCTCCAAAATCATTCCCGTTATCTTCGATGCCAGATCAGGCTGAAAAAAAAAATAATAAATAAAAAAAAAACAGCATTTTTTAAGTTGTAATATTCTTCCGTCTGAGAGAAAGATTTTTGCTCCGGCAACGCTAATAAAAAGATTTTTAAAAAAAAAATACTAAAAAAGGTGCATATGCATGCATGGAAATTAAAACTATCAAATGCGGCGAAGGATAAGCTTTTTTCCACGTAATAAAACGAGAATAACTTATTATGTTAAGGTGTGTGCTTTGTGGCAATTGCTATGATAGGAGGAGTTAAACAACGGAAAAACGCATGAACTGAAATTTTGAATTTTGAAGAAGTCTTTTTAATTGTCCAGGACATTTAATGGAAACATTCTGATTGGGGATGATTGGAAACAATGCATAAAAGTTTGATCTAACTAGCAGATTTAATTAAAGAAAAGGAACAATCAAACCCTTACAATTAAGAACAGCCCTTCAGCTAATACAACAAAACAAACCCCCCCTTGAGGTCTACGTTTTTTGAAGGAAAAATTTCGCTTGTTGATTGGGAAATTGCGAAACAGAAACAATTGTTACTGGTATTCTACTGAACCCTATCACCTTCCTTTCCATTTTCACAGGTATATTTTTTCTACCGAACCCTGTCACTTCCCTTCCCATTTTCACAAACATCACAGGATCTTTCCAACTAGACAAAAATGAGTTTTGCTTGGATGGCATGTAGAATAAAAACTTCACCTGATGATGAGCAACAAGAGGATAAAGACGATCACTAAGTATATGCTTCTGTTGATCTGGAGAAGCTGCAGCAAGCATGCTACTCAACATCTGTGAGCCCCCAGTAGCCAGTCCGGTACCAAATACAATAGGCTGAAACACAAGTAAACCCTCTTTTGATTAATCACACATAACATACTGGATGTCCATTTCTATCATATTTAAACGTGCAGGCATATGCTTCATAAAGGCAGACATTTTGTTCCTTGAATAGCATAACGGGCAATAGAACTAACAATCGTACGCTGTATACTTGAAAAATGACTCAGACAAAATAGATAAAGCACCATAAATAAAACAGACCTGATGGTTCCTTGAATCTTCAGGCTGCTGGAAATGTGATGCATATGGCAGAGCAACACCCAGAGGAAAACCATGGCCATTCAACCTTCCTCCATTCTGTCCGTGCGATCTTGGATTATTAGGTGCCTGTAATATTTTTGGAAAAGACTAAGAAAATGAAGGACTCGATATGATATCTCATTTGTAGGAAACAGTAGACGAACCAACTTATTTGGATACAAACCAAATTACGAATGAGTAGTAAAACTGAATAACATAAGACTGACCAATGTGCCTGGAGATGGATGAACTCCGGGTCTAGAAATATTCGAGAGACCATTACCCCTCCATCCGGGCCCGATTCCCCTAGGCTGATACATCACAGCACTTTGTGCAGGATATTGTGAGACGGCACCAGGAGCTTGGTAGTAATAATGGGAGTACCCACCAGGAAAAATAGTTGATCGTCCCCCTAATCCTGCCATGCGTTGTGCATGCATGAGCTGCAACTGAGCTTGTCTATCCTCTTTTCTCTGAGCAATTGCCACATACAGTGGCTTTCTATGCAAAATTATCCCTGGAATATATGTATTGCTCGACATATCAGAATCCCAGGCGCTTAAACCTTTTACAATAAAGGAAAGCTAAGACGAAGCTTTATGAACTACTTAAGTAAATAAGAAATCAGTTTGATTCAGTGTAATCAGTTTTTTTTTTCCTCTTTTTTTTCGGGGCATGGTGTGTGGATGTTGCAGTTCAGAATTTCACTTGATATTGCTATCCCCACCTGCTTTTCCTCTTTTCACAGGGTCAATAACATCATTTAAAATTCTAGATGCCAGCCCAAAGTGCCCTAAGGATACCCGTGCACTTTGAAGTATCACTTACAGACTCGAGACTCCTGAAGTACCCATTCTAATTACAGTATTGTCATGATACCAAAAAAATAAAAAATAAAAAAAGAAAAGAAAAAAGAAAGCAAGTGTATGCTTGTCCATGCCTGTCATATAATCAGTCCAGCAATTCACGTATCTATCACTAGTCACTACACATACCTCACCATATATAGAATTGGTAGAATAGACAGCATATAAACACACCCACCACGGAAAGTATAAACAGCTTTAGTGGCCTCCTCGGGGGTGGAGAAGCAAACAAATCCAAACCCTTTGCTCACTCCTTTGTCATCTCGCATAATCTTTGCTGACATAATTGTCCCGCATTTGCTAAAACGTTCCTTCAGCTCGTCGTCTGTAACATCATCGCCAATATTCTTCACATAGACATTCGATGCCTGAAATTCAGATCAAGTCATATATCATAATTCATAACCACAGACAAGCAGGATTTACACGAGCAACTGTTAAAGAAAATGATTCCTGCAGGACCTGGTATTTGAGGCGCCATTCCTTCTTTTTCTCCTCAAATTGTCGGCGTAGGATTTCATCTCGTTCAGATTTTTTTTGTGCCCGGGCGACATACAAAACCTTTGAGCCTGTCAATATGAACATTTAAGCCAAAGTTTTTCCAACATCAAAGATTCTGCAGCTTAACTATACAATAAATTATGGTGAAAGTTTATGATATTACCAAGTTTTGATCCATTGAAAGCCTCCACTGCACGTTTTGCATCATCGGGGTTCTCAAAGTTGACAAACCCAAATCCTCTAGACGTGCCATTCTTATCCTTCGATATGACTAAGCTTACAATTTTTCCATATTTGGAGAACTTCTCCCTGAGGACTTCTTCAGAGAAACTTGTATCCAAATTCTTCACATACAAATTCGTGTACTCTTCATGACTAAGATTGGCTCGGTCACTCTTCTTCATAAACTTAGCCACAAGCCTATGTAACCTCAAAATTGGTGAAATTAGTGGAGCAGGTCACAGAAAATCGAAACAGAAAAGGCTACAGAAAACTATAGAGGAGCCAAATATACATTTGTTTGCCTTCAATAGTGGACCCATTGAGGTTCTCAATTGCAGCTTCTGCAGAGCTTTCAGATTCAAACTGGACAAAGCCATATCCTTTGCTTTTTCCATCATCAGAAGTGACAACTTTACATGACAATATATTACCAAACTTCTGAAAAATCTCTTGGAGCTTCACGCAATCGATCGAGTCACTCAGATTCTACAGCAATGGACCCATATAAATTATTCTTTACAAGTAAGTGAATATGGTGAAAGAACACAAAGATGTCCCATTAACCAATTGAAAGAACTTCAAAAGTGAAAGTAAGTTACCTTGATAAAGACATTTCCAATTCCACTTCTTCTTGCATAAGGATCACGACGCGACCAAGTAACTCTTATAAGTCCCCCCTTCAGTGAGGAATGATTTTTCTCCTCAATAGCACGGACAGCTACTCAAAAAAAAAAAAAATGAAATAAAGCTATTGTGTCAAACCAAATTAACATCTAAGCAAGAAATCATATGGTATCACAATATTTAACGCATCACAACAACCCAATTATTAGGCTCTCAAGGATAATAGAGAAGCTAGCCCATTCTGGAGTGTCTGAAATATAATGGAGCAAATTTGTAAAAAAAAACATCAAATAAGTCAATTATAAGGTCTAACTGATAAATGAAAACATGTTCTAATTAAAACCTTTCGCATTACTGTAGAAAGTGTTTCCATTAACATTTTCATACAAAAGATAGAAAGGACATGAACTTCCAGTTTCCGTGAAAAGGGAATCACAACCATTCATTATCTTTCAACCAGGCGATACTGTTACACCAATCGAGTCACAGGTATATAGCATATCATACATAACAATTTTCCACAAAGTGGCGAGCAAACGCCTAGCTTGTCCAAATAGCCTATCTATGTAGACTTGCTTGACATGGGCTCGTGATCCCTCTCAAACTAAGTATTTTTACCATTATAAACAATCAGTACAAGAAAACAAATTTAATAATTTTGCATGCATGACTGAGATAATACATCAAGAAACACCGAATCATTTCGCTCCATGGAGCAATTGGACCTGACCTTTTCAAACACGAAATTCTCAATTAAATCCACTCGATCAACCAAAATCAGAGTCAATCAGAAAACACCAATCGCGAAAGCATTGTTATAACGATCAGAACCAACTTGATCCACCCACACACATAAACACACACACACGAACAACACACTTAAGAAAGGCATAAAAAATAGAACGCCAAATCCAGCAATGTACTCAGAAAAAAACCTTACCATCCTGACGAGAGAGGAAGTTGGCATATCCGTAACAGAGAGACAGTCTCGTGGACGAATCGCGGCAGACCCGAACAGACTCGACGTTGTACTCCGAGAAAGCGTCGGCGAGATCGCCGTCCGTCACGTCCGGCTGCAAATCCCCGACATACAGAGCCACCGCCGACGATGTCGCCGCCATCCTTTCCGCCGCCATGATCTAATACTCCTCCCACCGGAACAAAAAGAAAAAAGAAAAGTGAAAAATGCAATAGCGACGGCGAAAAAATTCCTCGCCGGGTAAAGATTCAGGCGTTACGCAGTAATAAATCGATAGTTAAATGCGATTTAATAGACGATCTGGAGCTTCGATTTTTTTTCCGATTAGGGAAATGAAATTACAGAGCAGATTTCGTTCCTCGATGAATTTGGCAAAGATAATCTGATTAGTGGGAACTTTTTTGGGAACGAGTGTGTGTATTGTATGTGTGTGAAAGTGAGTGTGAGAGTGATTTGCATGGACGCGGGAGTTTTGTGCCGCTTCGTTGAGGGGACACCGCACAGTGTGTGTTTTTTTGGTTATTTATTTATGTGTGACTAAGGGGGTTGTATTCAATTGCAACTTTTAGACACTTTTTAAGACTTTAAGAATTCTGGTGTATTCAATTAGAACTTTTAAAGACTTCTAAAAAGTTTACATGTATTCAATTGAGACTTTTAATGACTTTTAATAAGTCTCTAAAAGTCTCAGGGTATTCAATTAAAACATTCTGAGAGTCTTTATAAGTCACCCGATATTCAAAACAGAAAGACTTTGTGAGACTTTTTAAATTTTAAGACTTTTGGAGACTTTTGTAACAAAATTACAAAGGAAAAGTCTCAACAGAAATCTCATCAATATTGGTGAGATTTTGCTGGACTTATGTGACTCTTTTCACGCTCTTTTTTTTTTCTTTCTAAATTGACTTTGTATCCCATATCATTTTCATGCTCTATTATTTTACTTATTTATTTTGATACCTTGTGTAAGTTTTAATTTTCATTACATATTATTGTAATCTTTTATTTTATATATTCTTTATTATGCTTATTTTATGTGTGTATACCTTATTCTCTCATTTTGCTATCTTGTGAATTTGACTTTTCAAAGGTTAATGCTTCCATAGTTGCACTTGCAAGTAATTTATTTGTTCTTTCTTTTTATTTATAAATGTTTATTTCAAATATTAAAAAAAAAATATTTTATTTTCAGATAGTTTATTTGTTAATATTGAAATGTTTTGAATATTATTGATAATTTTATAAGATACAATTACTGTTTTTCGGCATGTTTGTATCTTGTAAAATTATAACCTAATAATATTTTTCTAATATAACAACATTATGCAAAAAATATAAAAAATAAAATCAATAAATAATTAGATAAATATATCTTAATTTGAGTTGATTATAAGTGTCGTTATAGTAGAGATGTCTAACACATATTTGACCTTGTACTCTTTTAACAAACAAATATAAGGCCCTGCTCGATTCGGCTCGTTGAAGCTCGGATCGATTTACTCGTTTAATAAATCTAAAATTTTAAACAATTTGTTCGTGAATAACTCATTTCGCATAAAAATGAGTTTATTCATAAATTTTTAGAGGATTAATATATACAATATCTTTTTGTTTTTTCATTTATTCTTGTTTATATTAGTTATTATGTTACGTTTATTAATATTTTATTCAAACATAATATTATAACTGCAAGTATATAAAAATCTCAATAAGTTTTAAAAAGTCCATTATGAAAGTCTTAAAAAGTCATTGATGAAAATTCTCTTTAAGTCTCAAAAAGTCCACCAAAGTAATGAAAGTTTTACAAAGTCCACAAAAGTCATTAAATTTAAAAAGTTTTAAAAAGTCCTTAAAAATCTCAATTGAATACACCCTCCTAAATCATGTATGACCCAATAATAAAATGTGAATTGCTATTTACTGTCCCTTTTTTACTAATCATCGCTTCTTCAAATTACGTTTTTGCCCTTCACACTATCTCTCTACTTTCTCTCTCTACTCTTTCCCTCTCGACTTTTCACGGATCTTTTGACCGTCAAAAAAATGTCGAAAAAATCTGAAAAAAATACCATGACATCGGCAAGACATTGAAGATTGACTATGTATTTTTTTTAATATTTTTTAATTTGTAAATAATTTTTAAATTTTTTTTTATTT